TCCGGAATTTCTGTGTAACTCCCAAGTTTAGGGTGGACGATATTCACAGTTCCAAACCTCTTGGCTTCTTCAGCTGCTTTAGCTGACCAAGCTCCTGTCACCACATAGTCAGCACACCTTCCTGGTTTCAGGCCAATCAGATTTAAGGGGACAGCACTGAACTGGCCAGACCCACCTCCTTGCACAAAAATCACCTTGTAGTTATCTGGAACGGCTAGCAATTCCCGCACAAGAGTCTCTGTGTTGTTAAGAATCTTAGCAAAATCTGATGACCTGTGGCTCATTTCGAGAACACTAATCCCAACACCTTTGTAGTCTAATAATTCTTTTTGGATCTCTAACAATACCGAGCGGGGAAGCTTGGCGGGTCCCGGTCCGAAGTTGACCACCTGCCTCAGTGCGTCCATGATGTGAGGGTGAAGACCACAAGTCCTATCCCTATTTCTTTATTCCTTCTTTTCAACTTCTGCATAATAACCTCCAGAATAATCTAGCTCAGTGCTTCTCAATCTACCTATGGTGAAGGATCAGTGTGATTATTTTTACCAATAGTTGGCAGACCAATGCTTTGTCAAAGTTAGCTGATCATTAATTTAGATGCAGCAGCAAGGTCAAATTACTATAAAAGTTTTTATGAATTTAATCTCAATTTTTGTACTTACCATAGACCAATAGCAAATAGTTCTTGAACCAGCACTAATACATGAACCACACTTTGAGTAGCACTGATATAGCTAAAATTCAGATCTGAATACTCCACTTAAAATTATCTAGTGGATCTCCATTAGCTACAAGAGAAAATTCAAATTCTGGATAACATGGGATACAAGGTTCTTTTTAAAATTAGTTCCAGGTGTATAAAACAACATACTGATTAGACATTTATACCCACTCATAAAGTGATAACCTCCTTCCCAGTCTACTACCCCTCTGACATCATATATAGCTGTTACTATACCATTGACTATATTCCATATCCTACACTTTAAATCCTGTGACCACATAAACAAGCAAGCAAAACAGAAATAGAGTAAGAAATATAGGGAAAGATCTGATGGCTGCTAGATGGGAGGGGGGGTTGAGGGATAGGGGAGAAGGTGAAGGGATTAGGAAGTACAAACTGGTAGTCACTGGATAGTCATGGGGATGTGAAATACAGTATGGGGAATATAATCAATAATGATGTATAGATTACAAGGTCCTTTGTGATCTGACTGTCTTTCTAATTTCATCTCCTACCTTTGTCTGCCTCAAACTGTATACCCAGAAACAATTAAGTGCTCGCAGTTTGTTAATCACCAAGAATCACTGGAAGAGGTGAAGAAACAAACTTTAAGATGAGTTTCCTGGAGCAAATCCCAAAGTCAGACTGCAGTACTGGGCCACCAGGAAAACTTCTACATCAGAAGGCTTCAGGCTTCAAAATCATATAGCCAGTGCCATAAATAATTAACTGTACTTTGAAAATAAAATTTTGAATGCTTGCAAAAAATAAAAACAATCTGCTGCAATCAAGATGCCATCATTACCAGTGCCACTCTAGAACCACACTATGCCTGCTGTGATCAACACCAAGAAAATTGACACTCTACACCCTGCCTCTCAACACCCACAAAGCTATTGTAGTTACTTGACATTGGGACCGCTGTTAACATTGTCTCGGAAAAATTCTGCCTCCCATGTCTTTCACAAATGCACCTGATTGGCTTAATCTTACATATATGCAGAACCCAGTTGCAAGGGAGTCTATGAAATGTAGATTTTAATTTTCTGGCCTCTGCAGCACAGGCCAGAACACTAGATCAGTGTTTTTCATACTGCAGGTCATAATCCATTCATGAATTGTAAAATTAATTTAGAGGTTCATGACTTGTATATTTTAATGAAATGGAATGGGATGGGATAGACTAGAAAATATTACAGTGCATATTCAGGGTTACTATTGTTTCCTGGGAATTTTGTTTCAGTTATCTAAGTGCAGAGAATGTAGTATGGGTATGTATTGGGATACCATATAAAATGAATTTATTACTGTATGTTACAATCCAAAAGTTTTTAGCTCATTATACTAGCACAATGGTTCACAAACTTCAGCCCACATCCGAATCCCCTGGAGGGATTATTAAAGCACAGATACCCAAACCCGAATTTATAATTCTGATATGGTGTGAGGCCTGAGAATTTACATTTCTAACAAGTTCCCAGGTAACGTTGATGTCATTGATCTAAAGAATGTACTCTGAGAATAACTGCTCTAGAATAGTGGTTCTTAACGTTGGCTGCACATTAGAATTATCTATGGAGTATTTTTACTGAAATATACTTGGCATATAACATTGTGTACATATGTACAGGTTAACTTGATACAGTTATATATTGTACTATGATTGCCATTGTAGTAATAAATAGCACCTCTATCATGCCACATAATTATCATTTCCTTTTAATGGTTGGAATAATTAAGTTTTAGTTTCTTAGCAAGTTTGATGATTATAACAATATTGTAGCTTTCAGTCACTATACCATGCATTATTAGCTCTCTAAGGCTTATTTACTACTGTTGCAAGTTTGTACTCTTAAACACCTGTCTTACCCATTCACCTGACTGGGTGACACCCCATCCCCTGGTAACCACCATTTTACTCTCTGTTTCTACAAGCTTGCTGGCCTGTGGAGCCTTTAAAAGTCCTGATGTCCAGGCTGCACTCCAGAGCAATTACATGAGACTCCCTGGGGTGAGACTGGGTCATAAGTTTTTTAAAGTTCCCCACATGATTCTAATGTAAATAGATAATTCCAAAATGAGAATCACTACTCCAGAAGAATGATGGAATAGATGTTGAGCATCGATGTATGATTTTATTTATTTATTTATTTATTTTTAAAAGATTTTTATTGGGGAATTGGGGGATAACAGCGCTGGGGAATTGGGAGGAAGGGGAACAGACAAGTTGCTGTCGTTTTGTTCTTCAGTCTAGTTGTGGAGGACATTGCTTCACTGGCCCAAGTTGGCACCATCATT